CAGTCATTAACTGCACTTGTTTTCAAACGCCAGAACATATTCTGAGGCAAGACGAGGTATTTGTCTTCCATTATGTTGTTATCTAAGATGCATTGACGGAATTTATATAGAGTAAATTATAATGTGATTCGGCTTAAAAACAGGATTTTATGGCTAGAAACACGCTAAAGGCGTTAGAAATATTAGTTGGGTGGATGTATACTCGTTTTCTTTCAGTAAGAAACGTTTTTATATAAGAAACTTTTTTTTATAAGAACGTTGAGGCTGAGATTAACCAAAATTTTAAGAACATGCTACGAACATAGCCAAGCTGAGACTTAGCTAAGAACATTTTTATTCACGTGTTTCTTGCATCAAGCTCTAAATACAGTATTCGCCGCAAACTCGGGTATCAGTATTTTATTCACTTTTTTCTTGCATCAAGCTCTAAATACAGTATTCGTCGCAAACTCGGGTATCAGTATTTTATTCACTTTTTTCTTTCATCGAGCTCTCAATACAGTATTCGCCGCAAACTCGGGTGTCGGTATTTTATTCACTTGTCTCTTGCATCGAGCTCTCGTTACAGTATTCGCCGCAAACGTTTTCAGGCTGAAATCGCCAAAAAATAAGAACATTCGTTCTTGGTTCAGCCTCAGCTATAGAATTATACGTTCTTATAAAAAGAAAGACAGGAAAGAGTGCATTCATCAAGTTTAAGTATGATCCTGAGAATTTCTAACAGTAACTACCGGTCATAGGAAAACCGACAATAATGTTTTGACTTCACGGTAGCGGATAATCACACGAAATACAATTCGACTAAGTTTAACGATGCATGGCGAACAGAACGCTAGCCTGCGTAGCAGTCGTTTCCTTTCCGAGAGCGTGGAAGGCGCGCGAAAGCGCGAATGCGAAAAGAGCGAAAAATAAATAAATAAAAAAGCGGGAGGGGGGGAAGGGGGAAGCAGGCTAACAGAACGCTTTCTAAACCTTTCTAGTTGGACTATTTAATGGGGAAGACATTTGAAAAAATATGTCTTGATCATTATTAAATCACGTTCAACTGTATACCGTAAAATTCCGAAGCCCCTCCGAGTATAAGCCCCCAAAATTCAAAGCGTATAGTACCCTCGAGAAACATATGCGAAGCAAAATAGGGCAAAAGACCGAATTTATTATAGAACGGCAAATGTACAAATGTCACGAACTGTATGAGTCGTGTAGGCCTGTCACCTTTTGATACTAAGCCGCTCAAAAAGTCCTTTGAAAAATATAAGTCCCGGGGCTTATTTCGGAATTTTACGGTGTTTAGTGATATTCATTAAATTTATTCCTACGAATTGAGAAAATTTTAACATTTCTTACATTTTTTTTTTTTTTTTTTTTGGATCAATGAACTAAATCCTGGAAGAGGGACTGCTCGTAGCCTATAAAATATATTTTTATTTTCAATACTGAATAACTTTCCTTTATCCTTTTTAGCGATCCAAGTATAGATAGATAGATAGACTTTTATTTAACGTGGACAATACACTTAGCTATAGTATATTCATGACACACTGCTAATTGTAGTTTCCTCTTTTCTTTTCCGGATGAAGTCCTATCACCTCAGGAGACATAGCAAAAACATATACAAAGGAAGAGCAATAATTATTTACAAAGGAACAGAAACTCTTCTACGAAGCTGATCTATCCGTATTAAGATGTAAGTAAAGAATATTTAATATTTGCAGTAACTGTATTGTAATTCACTCGGATATAACGAACCGCGATGAAATTGGTCATACAATTGCTCCAGTGGAATAACTTATCTGTTCTGAAGGCCTATATTTGCCTCAGATATTCAAATTATGATTATGATGGTGATCATCGTAAAATTAATGCGGACTTTTAAAAACAGTTGTTTGTTTTGAAACAGGCAGACATCTCAGCTATAACGAACATTTTGGCGATGACCCGCTGGGCCCCCGACTGTTCTCAGTTTACAAGAATAACGAACAATATTTCATCTTGCTTATGTAGCGGCATGCAGGCAGCGACGGGGGTGATTGTCGTACATTTAAGGATTTTGTACCGCTTAAGGACGTTCGCGCCCAATTCTTCCCACTTTCAGATTTCTTTTTAACTTTTTCTGCAGTTAGATAATGACCAACTCATGTCAGAAAGGCAACAAAAATAGGTCCACACAGTGTGGACATGTGTTGGTTTACATATTTTATAAACAAAATCAAAATCATTCATGAATCAATGACCAAGCTTTTGATTTCCATTGACTGTAATTCCATTTTTGAATTTAAGAAATTATGCAAACAATACCACTTACACAAATGGAGGTAAAATAAAAATAAGCAAAGTTTACTTGTACATGCAATACAAATTTAAACTTGAGTATTGTTAATATATAATATATATGAGACCCCATCTAATACATTTAACTCAAAATCATACCCTGTTTAAGACAAGAACAGAATAGTGATTACAAATATATTTGTACAGCTTATGGAGTCACTGACCTGTTTGCTCTACATTGTAATTGCGCCAACAAAAAATGGTACAAATTTGGCTGGCGGTTAGGTTTTTTTAAATTGACCATATATGCTTATCCTGATTGTTCAAGACATTAGGCTGTGTAAAGATTAACCATATATGCTTATCCTGACTGTTCAAGACATTAGGCCATGTAAAGATACCTGTTTAAGACAGAAACTGATAAAACTGATACCCCGTCCAAGAAACCCTGAAAACCATACCCTATTGGGCGGCACGTCCCTGTAAAGGCCATATAAGGGAATACCCCCCCCCCCCCCCCCCCCCCCCCTCCACCCCCCAGGTAAAAACCCAAGTAATATCAAAAGGAAATCATAGAGCAACAATGCAGATACCAAATATGTACGCATTACTATATTTTTATTCATCATTATATATTTTTCGTCCACTGTTAATAACTATACTACAGTCGAACATGTATTAAGCGGTCACCCTCGGGGAATGGCATATACTGACCGCTTAATTATAAATACTGGCTGGCAGTCAACAAGCCAACAACTTATAAACACAGGCAGCCAACAATAATTTATAAACACAGGCAGTCAACAATTCATATAAACACAGGCAGTCGACAAATATACAAAAACAGGCAGCCAACAATTTATAAACACAGGCAGCCAACAATTATAAACACAGGCAGTCAACAAATTTATAAACACAGGCAGTCAACAAAATATAAACACAGGCAGCCAAACAAATATATAAACACAGGCAGCCAATAATTTATAAACACAGGCAGTCAACAAGCCAACAATTTATAAACACAGGCAGCCAACAAACTTTAAGAGAAACCGGAAGATGTTTTGGGTGTATTTCACTAGTCCCGATGTCAAGATGGTTGTCCCGCCACTTGTCCCGAAGAAAATTCAACAAAATTCCAAATAACGACCTTTAGTTGTTTAAATCTAAAATGACCACCGTTAGAGTTATCTCGGTACCTTTTAGGGAAAACTACTTTCCTCTTAGAATTGTTACCATTCAGGGGTGAAAATGAATTTGTGCCACACCCACAAAACGAGACTCTGAGAGGCTCCTCTCAAAATTTCCGTCGATCCCCGGCCCATTCCCACGCGAGTTCGAGGGGCACTCAAGAAAGACGGTACGATTTCGTTAAATAATATACCAGGACAGAGGTCTATTTAACAATTATTCGTCGAAGGCGAAGTGGATATTGGTGAATATTCCCCGAGACGAAGTCGAGGGGAATATTCACCAATATTCACGAGCCTGAGGCGAATGATTGTTTTATAATATACAAATTACAGGGAAAATGTTAAATTTCTCCGAGGAAACTGGAAAAATACGAAAATGTTCCGCCATTTTTTCCCCGAGTTCAAAAATTTGAACTTCGCGGCATTTTCAAATAAGGTAGAGAGGGTATATTGCCTCTGAGACCATGATTAGGGAACCAATCAAATTGCTTGAAAATGCATTATCCCATGTTTAGTATATTATAAAACTAGTTATAGACCTCTGACCAGGATCGATAATCCATCTGTTTGTATTTACCGTCAAAGTGGCGCGGTTTTAAATTGAGTGTCGTAAAACCTGAAAAAAAACCAAAGCAATTACAATGGCCAATCACAACAAACGTAAACAACAAAACGAACCAATGAGAAGGCGAAGCAAATATACGTAACCGACACCAAGCGCGGATTGGTGGAGTAGATGGCGCGAGTTTTTAAACCAATCACAGTACAGCACGTAGTAAAATGAAACCAAAGCAAGTCCACTGTTACTTTCGACACACAATTTAAAATCGCTCTATCACCTTTATATATTCACCAGGTGGAAATTTCAAGCCTGTCTTCGTAAGTCCGTCATCCCTTTGTTCATAACTGCTGGATTCATTATTGTATTCACCGAGGGCTCTTGCAGTGACGGAGGATGTGTTACATTTTCCTTCGCAATTGGAAGGAACATGGTGGATGGTTATGCACTGCTTGGTCACGTGTTTGAAAATGTTTCAGTGGCAGGAGTGATGGATTGTTATCATACATGTCAACCAAACTGTCGATGCATCTCATTCAACTTTCTGACAACTGTCAACCAAGACAACTGTCAACTGAATTCGGAAAACAAACATCTAAGGCCCGGTGCATTGGTACAAAAGGAAGGCTCGCAGTACTATGATCTGGACATTAAGTACGACTTTGAGGTAATATTAAGTTAGTCTAAGTAAAAAGCACATCCCACACAAATGTTCGGGCAGGACCTCCAATGGGGTTGGGATGTATATTAGTGACGGGAAGGCGCGAAGGCCTTTCTGGGGCTTGATATTAACGATTTGGAGACTTTTTTGGGTCAGAAATTTTCTGGCGGATATTTTTTTGGTTATAACAATTGTATAAATAAATGTAAAGATAGTATTTATTACTACACATGACGCTTTCGACATTGCTGATCCTAGCAGTATGCAGCACCCGTGTCACGTATGAACCTAGTATATGACCGCTCACTACATGAGATACTCCGTAGCTCAGTGGTTAGAGCATCCGACCGGTGTACGGAAGGTCATCGGTTCAAATCGACGCTCGTAACAAACTGAATACAGTTACTTACTATAACAATTATATCGCTCCCCACTGAATGACTACAGTCTGCCCAAAGTTTGTGACAGAAAAGAAAAGGCCGGCTCAAACTACAAAACGAAGACCCTCGCTACAAAGCTTTAGCAGACGCCAAGGACAAGAATTCGATGGAGTCTTTGCTTGTAGAAAAGGCCGGCCCAAACTACAAAAACGAAGAACCTCGCTAGAAATCTTTGTCTGACGCCAAAGACAAGAATCCGATGGGTTCTTCGCTTTGTAGAAAAGGCCGGCTCATACAAAACGAAGACCCTCGCTAAAAAGCTTTACAAGACGCCAAGGATAAGAATTCGATGGGGTCTTTGCTTTGTAGAAAAGGCCGGCTCAAACTACAAAACGAAGACCCTCGCTAAAAAGCTTTGTCAGACGGCAAGAGACAAGAATTCGATGGGGTCTTCGCTTTGTAGAAAAGGCCGGCTCAAACTACAAAATGAAGCCCTCGCTAAAAAGCTTTGTCAGCCGCCAAAGACAAGAATTCGATGGGGTCTTCGCTTTGTAGAAAAGGCCGGCTCATACAAAACGAAGACCATCGCTAAAAAGCTTTACAAGACGCCAAGGACAAGAATTCGATGGGGTCTTCGCTTTGTAGAAAAGGTCGGCCCAAAATACAAAACGAAGACCCTCGCTACAAAGCTTTAGCAGACGCTAAGGACAAGAATTCGATGGAGTCTTTGCTTGTAGAAAAGGCCGGCCCAAACTACAAAACGAAGACCCTCGCTAGAAAGCTTTGTCTGACGCCAAAGACAAGAATCCGATGGGTTCTTCGCTTTGTAGAAAAGGCCGGCTCAAACTACAACACGAAGACCCTCGCTAGAAAGCTTTACCAGACGCCAAGGACAAGAATTCAATGGGGTCTTCGCTTTGTAGAAAAGGTCGGCCCAAATACAAAACGAAGACCCTCGCTACAAAGCTTTAGCAGACGCTAAGGACAAGAATTCGATGGAGTCTTTGCTTGTAGAAAAGGCCGGCCCAAACTACAAAACGAAGACCCTCGCTAGAAAGCTTTGTCTGACGCCAAAGACAAGAATCCGATGGGTTCTTCGCTTTGTAGAAAAGGCCGGCTCAAACTACAACACGAAGACCCTCGCTAGAAAGCTTTACCAGACGCCAAGGACAAGAATTCAATGGGGTCTTCGCTTTGTAGAAAAGGTCGGCCCAAAATACAAAACGAAGTCCCTCGCTAAAAAGCTTTGTCAGACGCCAAAGACAAGAATTCGATGGGGTCTTCGCTTTGTAGAAAAGGTCGGCCCAAAATACAAAACGAAGACCCTCGCTACAAAGCTTTAGCAGACGCTAAGGACAAGAATTCGATGGAGTCTTTGCTTGTAGAAAAGGCCGGCCCAAACTACAAAACGAAGACCCTCGCTAGAAAGCTTTGTCTGACGCCAAAGACAAGAATCCGATGGGTTCTTCGCTTTGTAGAAAAGGCCGGCTCAAACTACAACACGAAGACCCTCGCTAGAAAGCTTTACCAGACGCCAAGGACAAGAATTCAATGGGGTCTTCGCTTTGTAGAAAAGGTCGGCCCAAAATACAAAACGAAGTCCCTCGCTAAAAAGCTTTGTCAGACGCCAAAGACAAGAATTCGATGGGGTCTTCGCTTTGTAGAAAAGGCCGGCTCAAACTACAAATGAAGACCCTCGCTAGAAAGCTTTACCAGACGCCAAGGACAAGAATTCGATGGGGTCTTTGCTTTGTAGAAAAGGCCGGCTCAAACTACAAAACGAAGTCCCTCGCTAAAAAGCTTTGTCAGACGCCAAAGACAAGAATTCGATGGGGTCTTTGCTTTGTAGAAAAGGCCGGCTCAAACTACAAAACGAAGACCCTCGCTAGAAAGCTTTACCAGACGCCAAGGACAAGAATTCGATGGGGTCTTCGCTTTGTAGAAAAGGCCGGCTCAAACTACAAAACGAAGACCGTCGCTAAAAAGCTTTACGAGACGCCAAGGACAAGAAATCGATGGGGTCTTCGTTTTGACCACCCTGTTTACAGTGCGACTATCAGTCCGCACCTCCCGGTATTAAAAGGCCAGACGTAGGATTACCCCTCCCTCGGCATTTAGTTCACATTTTATAAGTTGCAAATACGCGCTAATCTTTATCCCTGTTAGCCAGGTTGACCCTGGCACGACCGTTTACACGAGAAGGGTGCTCCGGCTTGGCTGTTTACCCTGTCTCACATGTAAAGCAAACGGCAAAACATAATAGACCCGGGTAACCCTTCTAGGCGGGTAAACCGGCTAGCCGGCGCACCCTCTCTCTCCCTCTCTCTCTCACTCTCTCTCTCTCTCTCTCTCTCTCTCTCTCTCTCTCTCTCTCTCTCCTCTCTCTCTCTCTCTCTCTCTCTCTCTCTCTCTCTCTCTCTCTCTCTCTCTCTCTCTCTCTCTCTCTCTCCCTCTCTCTCTTTCTCATAAAATGGGCAACTTTAATTGATCACGAGCACTTGGAAAGATAGTGAGGATATTCAGCGCTAACCTGTGGTTTGTGTAACACCATTATCCTCCTGTCTGTCTATCCATGTCAATCACGAGAACGTTCTACAGTGGTACCACACCGTGCCCAGATCAGCTTCTTGTCTAGTTGTGAAAAAAAAGTCGTGACGGTTACATACAAGGCTAACAGAGTAACTGTATATTACAACATACAGCTAGTAAATCATAGATTGCAATTTTCCTCAGTGATCCTGATAATGTCTCCTTGACAGTTTTTTAGAAAGTGGAGGATAAATAGAGGTTATTCAGCGGAAAGTTGTGTAATACGGCTGGGTATTTTTACGAGTCAGTTTTTACACAACTTTCCGCTGAATAAATTGTTTATTATACGACATAATATCTTTCCTAAAATATAGGCTTTCAACAGAGTTTTCCGTAGCGCGCGGTCAGGGGGACTGAGACCGGTGTAATACGGTCTCATATCTGCTCTCCTCTTTGTGCATATTCGCACTCTAAAATTCCATGTCGTTTAATCAAGTAACGTACCCATAAAATAACTAAAGGCAAATAAAAGTATAATAACTTCACAACTCCCCCACTCGAAAATAATATCTAAAGAGTCTTGTAAACAGCTATTTTCATTACGAAAAGGTTAATTATATTTTAAACTTCAAAGTATTCGTTTCATATATCATTTCTCCGAAAGTGATCAGGACCGTCCAAAATTAATTTTATGCAAGTTTGTCGAGCACATACATTAATTATGTTCACTGAAAATATCTGTGGACATGTAAAATAGCTTTCCCGTATAGAAATGTTTAACAGTGTACTTTCCCAAGGCAACTACAATAATGACAAAAGCATTTTAGCTCGCTTACCTTCTCAAGAAGACTCGCAGCGAAACAAATCGTTCATCGTTCACTTCTTCGACGTTGAACTTCCACGTGTCTTGCCATCGTTTCAATGCAAGGTTCTTGGCAAGGCAATGGCTCTACGCTCTCTTCGTTAAGCCTCGTATCAAAGAACATCTACCATGAAGATTTGGACGATTTTCGATGCTACCACCATTGAATTTGCAGATTTCTTGCATGCATGTCCAATACACACCAACTGAGTCGGGTCGTCTTTTCTCGGAGACATCCCGTCTAGCGGAAGTCAGGTCGTGATGTTCGAAACGGAAGTGAACTCGACTTACCGGAAGTCGGTCCGCCAAATCCGAGAGATGTGTTCATGAATATTTTGACAGATCGTGACGACCCGACACAGTTAAAGTCGATCCGACTTTTTCGTAGTCAGGTCGTGATCCGAGAGATGTGTGCATGAATATTTTGACAGATCGTGACGATCCGTACGGTTCGTGACGACCCGACACAGCTAAAGTCGATCCGACTTTTTCGTAGTCAGGTCGTGAGAGACAGGGGCGCGCGACATATAATATGTCTGCACGCGACATATATATGTGTATACCTCGTTCTAAAAGTACGAGGCCACTATAACACGCTTCCATGTAGTACCAGGCGCTAGCAGATCAAAATAAACACGCGATGCGACATATAATATGCCTGCACGCGACATATATATGTGTATACCTCGTTCTAAAAGTACGAGGCCACTATTACACGCTTCCATGTAGTATCAGGCGCTAGCACAGGCGCTTGCAGATCAAAACAAACACGCGACGCCACATATAATATGCCTGCACGCGACATATATATGTGTATACCTCATTCTAAAAGTATGAGGCCACAAACACACTAAACACAATGTATATTCTTCGTTCTAAAAGCGTGGGGCCACAAACACACTATTAAAAGCGTGAGGCCACAAACACGCTAAACACAATGTAATTATTCTTCGTTCTAAAAGCGTGAGGCCACAAACACGCTATTAAAAGCGCGAGGTCGCAAACACGCTATACATGACCTGCATTGTACATATTGCAAGGCCACAAACAAACGAAATCTGCATGCATACCTCGTTATAAAAGTATGAGGGCACAATTAAACGAGCGATGTACACAGGCCACAAAACACGCTTATACGGGCAAGTGACCATGAAACACTTGGTTCTTTTTCAACTTGATGTCATTCTTCCATTATTTGCTCTATACCATATTGGAATTCAAGTGGATCGATAAGGCAGGTTTTGTTGAAGTTGCTTTTAATGTATAACAAAAAGTTTTATATTGAAATTAACTTACAGAAAATATAATAACATATTTATAGTAAAATGGAAACTTTTAAAAGGCACTAAAAATTGTAGTAGAAATACCATCACTTTCAAAAAGCCACAACAAAGATTTGACCTTTTTTACTGAATACTTTTTTATATCCACAAACTATCACCAATAAGATTTTATATCATATATTTTCAGGGAAAACAGGAAACCCTCCTCAGTTTACAAGATACACTTCAGTAAATTAGAAATACAAATAATGATGTCCATGCATGGTCATAAATTAACATCTAGCTTGCTAATATTAAATAAGAAATATTAAGAATAATTTATTATGGATTTATAAAA